CCCGGGCCAGCCAGGCCTTCAGGGGCCACCTGGCCCCCCCGGGCCTCCAGGTCCCCCAGTCATCATCCCACCCACTCCGCCAGCCGTGGGACAGTACCTGCCTGAGGTGGGACCAGGGATAGACGGTGTCAAGCCCCCCTACGGCTACATGGGCAAGAAGGGCAAGGCTGGCGGCGCCGTCTACGAGATGCCCGCATTCACGGCCGAGCTCCTCACCCCCTTCCCCCGGGTCGGGGTGCCCGTGAAGTTTGACAAACTCCTTTACAACGGCCGGCAGAACTACAACCCCCAGACGGGGATCTTCACCTGCGAGATCCCCGGCATCTACTACTTTGCCTATCACGTTCACTGTAAAGGGGCCAGCGTCTGGGTGGCGTTGTTCAAGAACAACGAGCCGCTGATGTACACCTACGACGAGTACAAGAAGGGCTTCCTGGACCAGGCTTCGGGCAGCGCCGTTGTCCAGCTGATGCACGGAGACAAGGTTTACGTTCAAATGCCCTCCGAGCAGGCGGCAGGACTCTATGCCGGGCAGTACGTTCATTCGTCTTTTTCAGGATATTTATTGTATCCCATGTAAAACAAAAACCAGACACACACACATAGACACAAAAATCAAAACCTTTCTTCTCTGCTTCAAACTTTTATACCATGAAAGATGCATTTTATGACCGTTTTGGACCATCTTGTACAAATAAAAAAAATAAAAAAAATACAAATTTTAACATTATGCACAGCTAGTTATAAAAAAGGTGTGGTGAACATATCTACAGATGTGTATCAGGTTCATAAACAGTCGTTTTGCACCCGAGGGGGCCATATTAGCTGTACATTATATATTTCTGTGATGCCATGCTTACTTCATTTCATTCACAATAATTCAGTACTAAAGGTTCAAATCAGTGTACGTCACTCACTCCTGTTGGATATTTGACTGTTGCATTGATCATAGTTATGAGATAAAAAACAGTGACTTAAACCAGAGTAGGACTGTCTCAAATCATATAGGAAAAAATTGAGTGGCTTTTTATTTGTTTGGGTGGGGGTTTTGGGGGGTTTTTTTGACAGCAGGTCTGCCTGACAAGCAAAGGGTCTCTTAGCTGGAGAGCTCTATTTCCCTTCTCCCCATATAAAATATTCCTGCAGGTGTGGGTTTTTTTTTTTTTTTTTCTGAGCAATTTATTTATGATGGGAAAGGAGCACTGATGGTGTAACTATTCCCCACGAGCCCTCTCCAGCAGTCGCTGGACCCAGAACGCCACCAGTGACGCCAGCAGGCGCTGGGTTCACCTCCAAATGCCATGGCACTCGAAAAGCCTCCATCTGCATTTGCATGGTTGCAGTAGGTGAGCTAGATCAGAGACAAAAAGGAAGGGTTCCCCATTTGCTTCGTGCCACCCAGTTGAGACATTTTGGCCAACGTGTGGCAATACAGCAGGGCAGAATAAATTCACTGGGATTTCTGTGCTGGTGCTAAGAACCTGCGTCTGTTTGGCTTGTCAGAAGAGACGCCTATTCTGCCACTCAGCGAAAATTAAATCAGTTTACTCTCCAATGACTAGGCAAAGCAGAAGTAGCTCTGTTTGCTAACGAACTAATTTGTTGTTTGAGATCAACCAATTAACTTTACCAGCAATATTGATCACACAAATTTATCCGAGAACTTCATTTTATATAAAAGTTGATTTCCAATCCTTATTTATATGTTACCGATTGTCAAGGAGAACCTGCGGGCCTCGATCTTTTCTGTACGCAAGGAAAGCAACTTCTCTGCGAGAGCTGTCTGTTCATCAATGGTGCTAATCTCACCTCAAAAGTGTCCGTTTCCAAAGGGCAGCGCTTTGTTGAGGTTCCCTGGACAGTGCTGCACATCATGCACTGCTACGCTAGTTGAAAAGAGTTAAATACTCATCACTTCTTCAGTGTCTTTAGCTAATGCTACCGCTTTTGATTCAAAAACAAACTAGGTTTTTCATGCAGAACTAAGATTGGATTTAACTGGCATTACCATTATTTAAATGCAGAGTTTAATGCAGTCTAACATTGACTAAGGACTCCAGTGATATAATGTGGTGCTTTATCTCAGAAATTTTATGGATGGTGGCAGGAACGGGCGGACAGTTTACCAGGCATTGGTGACTTCGGTATGTTCCCAGAATATATGAGATATGTCAAAAGCAAATAATTTTGTATTTAAAATTTTTGTACTGATTTGAAAAAAATATCTTATTAAATATCTTTAAAAAAAATTTTTAAATCCTGTCTTCATTCAGCAGAACAGTTAGAAGGAACATCCAACCCGCTGAACTCATCTATCAGACCACAAGGACTCTGAAACAGAGAGCCTGATGTGAAAAAAATAAATGAGACTCCCTTTTTCTTTAGTTCCCCTCTACTGGCAAAACCTGCCCTAAGCTACTGTGGGGACCGCGCTGTCCCGGCATCGCATTTGGCTGGAGAGCACGGCTGGGGCCGGGGGAAAGGCGCAGAGCGAGGGGCTCTGGCCGGCGGCTCACGGGGACAAGTCGACACGGGAGCACAGCTCAAGAAGGCACAGGGGCAGCGTGCGGGAGGCAAAGAAATCGGAAGTCATCGAGGCGCGCTCTTAAGGGTTTGCACTCACCTAAAAAGCCAGAGCTGGCTGCCCAGGCTGGGAGGCACGCACCACGTCCCTGGCTCTCCCTGCGATGTGAAAACAGCTTTTCCCGTTTTTTTCACCTGTGGCAAAAACCTAGCGCGAAAGCAGCCACGTACTTGTCACTGATCCACATCGCGCTTCAACTGCGGCTCCATTGTGGGGAGTAAATTACAACCCACGGTGCGGCTCCCCCACCTCGCTTCAAAGACAGGCACTTCCTCCAGGCTGGTGAATGCCTGAACTCTCAATACTAAAATGAATGCATTGAATACCTACTTGTGTCAGGTAATCGTTTTCTAAATCTCCCTCAGGACGCCCTGACGCTGCTGGCCAAGCAGCTCCCCGCTCCCCAGCATCTCGTTTTTACTGCACAGAAAGAGAAAACAAAACATGACCGAAGTATCACAATCAGTGCCTCTCACTTTCTATCTAAAGTCTTTTGTCACGCGCCATCTTCTTAGTTAAATGTCTTTTAACGTTCCCCTGAAAGTCCCCAGTAAGACAGGCAAGATTAAAAAAACATGAAAAATTAAAATCAGGAGGATACTGCTCTTGATCTTACCCACAAAAACTACGTCCCAGCTTTGCTTTTACTCAGCCTGAAGTGAGATCTCCACGCGCAGCACAGCTCAGCCTACCCAGCTTCAAAAATTTTCAGCTCTCTTTGCTCTACTAAGCACCAAAGGTTGCTCTGAACTCGATACGGCACCTGACAACACTGTATGTACTTTACACAGCATTAATAACGGGGCTGGGCACACGCGCGCATCCACACACACACACACAGCAATGACCTTGCAAAAATAAGCCTGAGGGCACCATCTTTCACACAGTTTATTCACAGGAAAATAATCTCTTTCCATTTGTAGCATTCAAAATTTCACTTGAAACAATCATAAGAATGTCTTCAAAATACAGCTGGCGCTTTAAAGGCATATAAAACTTAAGACAAATGGCAAATAAAATAAGTATTTGCCGATACCAAAAACAGACGTTGAGCTTCATGTGTTCTTAAAAATCAGACTCCACTTAAAAGCTAAGGTATTTATACTACCTCCCAGGGCATTGTTAAAAAGGAAAGCAGGGCATAGGAAACAAGAGGTACCACACACTCGTTATTAAACACCAAAGTTGTGATTCTCTATTATTATCACCAATACAGTCACTAGAAATGTCATTTAGTGATATCTTTTAGGCACTTTCAAATTCATAGCTAGTGCAACAGTTTGTGACCTTCCTTCTTAAGTTGTATCTTCGTACTTCCCTCAATTATTACAGCAGAGGGAAAAACACCTTCCTGACAGAAAACAAGCGAAAAAAAAAAACAAAACTCTAAAAGTCTGAGCCAAACAGAGCTTTCGGCTGATGCAGGTCATCCTGCCTGTTCTGTGCGTACTTAGGTACCTTAGAGCTGGGTCCTTCTGATGGTGCAGTATTTCGAGGGGGCTGGCAGACAAAATGCAGGAGCACCTTTGCTGTAAGATGCTGCTGTCTTGA